AATCGTTAAAGGTATAAAATGAATAAAAGAATAATAAAATTAATAAGAAATATTACATAAACTTGCGTTACCGATGCATCATCTTTGGAAGATTTGAAGAGAATCAATCACTGTAGAATTTAAAAATTGCGCGAAGCCCTCATTGAGCACGTCCGTCGCGCTTGCTCATCAGGCACTAACTGAGCCGATCCAAGTAGCCGCCTTCCGATTGGCTACTTTCTCCTTCCAATCCAATTGCGTGCCGTTACTTATAACGGATTATTTAAAAATTTATATTTACTATACGCTTATTGGTAATTACTGTAACATCATAAAACAATATCATATAAATGAAATATAATAGCTCGTAATCATTATTATTTTAAAGATGAAAAAATAAAAGAGATTTTTCAATGGATGGAATGCGTGCTAACTGCAATGCGTTAGTCGATAGGGACTTTTAATATCTTTCGTTGGCAAGAATGAATTTATACCACTGTATACTTCAGGCTGTATGCGAACGTACACAGAAATTTCGTACTGTTGTGTCATTTATTATTTGGATTAGCTATGTAAGAAGAAGGTACGTTAATTATAGATGACAAGGGTCCGATGTTTGTCCTTGTTTTCTTTTCTTTTTTTTCCCCTTTTATTATGCACATGTAATATCGAAATTTTTTGCAGAAAAAAGTTGGAGATAATTGAGGCGTATTTCTTGAGAACGGATCACCCCCCTAGGGGTGGGGTCCACTGTCACTTTTAAGCCAAAGAAATCAACGAGTTATGTCAGTATCGTGAAACATAGAAGTGAATAAACGTGATCATGGCTCGTCCTATTGTACCAAGTCAACAAAAGTTGGCAGAGAAGCTAACTATATTGAATGATAGAGGCATCGGGATGCTGACTCGTATTTATAATATTAAAAAAGCTTGCGGTGATGCCAAATCGAAGCCTGGCTTCTTATCGGATAAGACTCTAGAGTCTTCGATCAAGACAATAGTTAGAAAGTTTCCTAATATCGACATCAAAGGACTACAAACGATAACAAATCTGCGTAATGAAATTATCAAATCTCTTTCTTTATATTATTATACGTTTGTAGATTTATTGGACTTCAAGGACAACGTTTGCGAACTCCTGACTACGATGGACGCATGCGGAGTACACATGGATATTACTATTAATTTTGATTTGACAAAAGGTTATTTGGATCTTGTTGTCACTTATGTCAGTTTAATGGTACTCCTATCAAGAGTCGAAGATCGTAAAGCCGTATTGGGGCTTTTCAATGCTGCACACGAAATGGTACACAGTCAGTCAGATCCTAGCTTTCCTCGTCTGGGTCAAATGATAATGGATTATGATGCGCCTTTGAAAAAACTTTCCGAGGAATTTGTTCCCCATTCGAAGCTATTAAAGAATGCCCTTACTTCTTTGTGGCCCATTTATCCCGGTAGAAATTTGACCGCCGATACGTGGAGGGCCGATCAGAAATTAAGCTTGGTAGGAAGTCCTGGACAAATATTGAAGGCAGCTGCCACCGATACGATGTCCTGCGAAACTCTGAGCTTGGACAGAATCGAAAGATGGGTAATACTCGGGTTTACGCTTTGCCACACTTTTCTGAGTCAAGAACAACCTAATAAACTTTGGATCACTGCTTTAGAATCGGGATGGGTATTGGCTTTGTTCAGAGATGAAGTAATTTACATACATCAATACATACAGACATTTTTTGAGAGCATGAAGGGATACAGTAAAAGGGTATCGGAAGTGAAGGATTGTTACAATCAAGCGGTACAGAAAGCCGGCTATAGGCACAGAGAACGTAGAAAATTTTTGAGAACAGCTTTAAAGGAATTGGGTTTGATTTTAACCGATCAACCGGGTCTACTCGGACCGAAAGCGTTACTCGTATTAATGGGACTATCTCACGCGAGAGACGAGGTGCTATGGCTTCTAAGACACGGGGATAATCCTCCAATACAGGGAAAAGGAAAAGGTAGAGGCGGCGAGGATCTAGTGGATCGACAGTTACCAGAATTGCTCTTCCATTGTGAAGAATTAAGAGCATTAGTAAAGAAGTATTCTCAGGTGCTTCAGAGGTACTACGTTCAATTTCTCTCAGGATTCGATGCGCCTGCTTTGCATCAAATGATACAGAATCTTCCAGTTTGTCCCGAAGACGAGGGTGCGATACTTAGTGATATGTGCTCAACGATAGCGAGTTTGACCGTAAAGCAAGTAGAAGACAACGAACTGTTCGATTTTCGTCCATTCCGATTGGATTGGTTTAGATTACAAGCTTACATGTCTATTGCCAAATGTAACATGAATTTAGCCGATAATAGAGAATTAGCTTCTTTCATGGACACGGTAGTTTTTCATACCAAAATGGTTGATAATCTCGACGAAATGTTAGTAGAGACGTCTGATCTCTCTATATTTTGTTTTTACAGTAAAATCTTTGAAGATCAGTTTCACATGTGCTTAGAATTTCCAGCTCAAAATCGTTACATAGTAGCCTTTCCGCTCATATGCAGTCACTTTCAAAGTTGTACGCACGAATTGTGCCCGGAGGAACGGCATCATATTCGCGAAAGAAGTTTATCCGTCGTAAATATGTTTTTAGACGAAATGGCTAAAGAAGCCAAGAACATCATTACCACTATTTGCGACGAACAATGTAATATGAGCGACATGTTATTGCCGAAACATTGTGCCGTATTGATATCTCAGGTTGTCAATAGAAAGAAAAAGGATAAAAATAAGAAGAACATGAGCGAAGTACACAAGCCAGGTATAGAAAGTTATAGAAAGACCAGAGAAGAATTAACCACCATGGACAAATTACATATGGCTCTGACAGAATTGTGTTATGCCATAAACTATTGTCCTACGATCAACGTATGGGAATATACGTTTGCACCTAGAGAATACTTGCATCAACATCTTGAATCTCGATTCGCTAGGGCCCTCGTTGGAATGGTTATGTACAATTCGGACACGAGCGAGATAGCCAAGCCGTCGGAACTCTTCGTGAGCGTCAGATCTTATATGAATGTACTTCAAACTGTAGAAAATTATGTCCACATAGATATTACTCGAGTATTCAACAATGCTCTACTTCAACAGACTCAGGAGCTTGATAGTCATGGGGATAAAACTATTGCTGCCCTTTATACCCAATGGTATTCCGACGTATTACTTAGACGAGTTAGCGCTGGAAACATATGTTATTCTGGAAACCAAAGAGCATTCGTCAGTTTATCCGTGGAGGGAGCAATTCCGTTTAACGCCGAAGAATTTTCCGATATAAACGAGCTAAGGGCATTGGCCGAACTTATCGGGCCATACGGTATGAAGATGCTTAACGAAAATCTCATGTGGCACATAGCGAGCCAAGTGCAACAATTAAAGAAATTAGTCGCAGGAAATAAGGACGTTCTTATAGCTTTAAGGACGAACTTTGACAAACCGGAAGTAATGAAAGAGCAATTCAAAAGATTGCAACAGGTTGATAATGTACTTCAAAGAGTGGCTATAATAGGAGTAATATTGAGTTTCAGGCAATTGGCACAATCTGCGCTGGTCGACGTTTTGGAAGAACGTATCCCATTCCTTTTGAGCTCGATTCTGGACTTTCGACATCACTTACCGTCTGGAGACCCAATGAGAGTAGTTTCCGAAATGACGTCTGCTGCCGGTTTAACGTGCAAAGTCGATCCTACATTGACAACAGCCTTGCGAAGTCAAAAGGCAGACGTCGATGAAGACGAACATTTGCTCGTCTGTCTTCTAATGGTATTCGTAGCCGTATCTATTCCAAAGTTAGCGAGAAACGAGAATTCCTTTTATCGTGCCTCACTCGAAGGACACTCGAACAATATTCATTGTATGGCAACGGCCATAAATAATATCTTTGGTGCGCTATTCACGATTTGCGGACAGAATGACATTGAGGATAGAATGAAGGAATTTCTCGCCTTGGCTTCATCCAGTTTGTTGAGACTCGGTCAAGAGGCCGACAAGGAAGCTACTAGAAACAGGGAATCCGTGTACCTATTATTGGATCAGATAGTCCAAGAGTCTCCTTTTCTCACGATGGATCTATTGGAGAGTTGCTTCCCGTATGCCCTTATACGAAATGCATATCACGACGTGTACAAGCTTGAACACTCTCAGCCGTAAGATTACGATCATAACGAAGTTATTATCGAATGAACGATCAACGCGCTGTAGTCATACTCAGGGCTACTTTTCTACGTCCACTTACTTGTGTACCATCGACAACTCTTGCGTTATATATCATCGATGATAGGCGAGATGATGATGATGATGATGATGATGATGATGATGATGATGATGATGATGATGAGGATAAAATCTGAATGAAAGAATTTATCATCGGAGAAATCAAAATTAATTCGAGTCTACGTATGTCTGTAACAATGTATCTCGTTTGTATGTCCATGCCTAGGGAAGACGACGCTCGGGTGATTGACATTGGTCATTGAAAATATTTTCGACTTTCTCTTCGATTAAAAATTGCGTTTAAAAGGACCCAATGAAAAGAGAACTTGCAGTGTAATAATATTCATTCAGTCGGAGCATTTTCTATAGAGCCGCGTTCCTCTAAAAGACATTTGATACGCGATTTAAAGACAATTTATATTATTAGGATAGTATATTTTCATTTCATTGTCACAGTATTCCGTAAATTATCATTACGTAAGAGAATTTTTTATTATACGAGAATGAACGAAATATATATGTAAATGATTCTCGATCGCTAAGAATTTACGTACACACGTATCATCATCCAATAAGTATCGTCACTTTATCCATTGCATTTTCTATGTATAATGGTAACTTTTACAATAGTTTATAAAATAAATAAAATCCATCCATAAACTACTACCTATATTTATTATTTTCTTTCTCACTCGATTTTCCATCGTCCCTTTTAAATTAATGAAACACGACGACAGATACTTTGATAAGAGATTCCTAAAAAAGA